AAACAAAAAACATGTTTTAATCATATGGTTATATGTAAGAGAAGTAGAATACTTATTTATCCTAAAATGGTGTTATTTGCAACATTTCTCTTCAACTCCTTTCCGTTATTTTTTCTTCTTTGATATGTTGTTGGTACATTATTATAATTTCAAGGAGAAATCAATATGCTTTTGTTCCTACATATACTACTTTATCATGAAGTCAAGTGGTTTACTTCAACTATTTTATGTCAGTGATTCATTTTATTTTAGTTGTGAGTGAATTCATTTTAGTTTATTCATGTCAAACAAGTTTAAAATGTTGTGAGTGACTTCATTGTTGTTGAATCAACCTTCATGTCTATTGTTGGTTGTTGGATGAAGCCTATGAATTAGAAAAAAGTAATCCACCTGATCTATATGAACAAAATGAAGGTTATAAACATTACTTTCATTTTTAAAGTCTATACATTTGTATATGTATTATTTATCTTAAGGAGCAGCACCACTATTTAGCACTATTGACACCCTAGGATTTACTATTGTTTATGATTATGATGTTATGCGCATTTGTTTGTATATTTTCCTTTTCCGTCACAGCATAGTTTTTGACTTCAAATGATTACATCAGAACACATTGAAGAATTTGAAGTGTATTACCTCTTTCCATGCGTTCCAATTGGTTAAAGATCAGATAGAAAAATCAAAATCGGAAGTGCAGGAGTAGCTGGCCTTATATGAGAAACTACAGGTTGTTATTGGTCGGTAGTTTCATTTGTGCCTTGTGACTGTTATCCAATTTGGTAGAATATATTTCTGATGATGACATTCTTGCTCCCGATTATGCTTATATATACTTGTAGGCTGAGAAGGATAATCTTGCATGGAGGGAGAGGGAGTGGTACATTAAAAATGATTTAGCTGATCTTTTTCAAAGATCTGTGACAGTTTCTGATCTTAGAGTTGCTGATATACACACTGAGATACAGAAAATGATCGAGCAAAAAAAAGTGATTGAAAACAAGCTTAAAGAGGAAGCAAGAGAACAGGGTTGGTATTTCCTCTCTTATCTTTGTAAAGCATGATATTCGACTCCTTTATGGTTAATTATGGGTGTTGCATTTGCCTTTGCTTCAGGAAGGAAAGAAATAATTGCTGAATTTAAATCTCTGCTTTCTTCGTTTCCTGAGGAGATGGGATCCATGTAAACTCAGCTTAGTAAGTATAAAGAATCAACTTCAGATCTCCATTCTCTGCGTGCAGATGTGCATTCTATTTCCAGTACTCTTGATCGGAAGGTTGGTGTTTGCTTACATGAACTGTACCTTTTAGCAACATAAAATCACAGTTCCTTATGAATGTTTGTTTTTCTAAATACCAGGTAAAAGAATGTGACACATTATCTGTTAGGTCTGCTGGTCAACTTGCCGAGATAAACAGACTTCTTGTTGTGGTATGTTGATCTTTTGCTCTTGGAAAAAAATCAGATACACTGAGTTGTTATTCTTCAAACTCGCCCAGCCTATTTGTAATATATTGTTGTTTCTTGAAATTTCTGTTATGTAGATGCCAGTATTGTGTACCAATCATAACCGAAAAAGTTAGGCAATATAGCTTGTATTTTGTTTATCATTGAAAGGTGTTACTTTTCCTCTCATTTATTAAGTGTAAGTTACATGTTGTTAAAAGTCACTTAGTAGTGTCTTTACGTGTAGGCAGCCGACACATAACTTCCAATTTCTTTGGGCCAGCAACCTTCTGCAGACATGGTTTTACTCAAATACTCCAAACTATGTTGACCAAGTCTACATTTCCTTTTATCCACCTTCAATTTATCTTGCAATACTTGGAGGACCTTCCTCAAGTGAGTGACATGGATTTCCACATTTCGGCTGTAAATCAAAATGCCATAAAAAAGCCCAATACAAATTTCCTAAGAACTAGCTTGAGTATTTCATCCGTGAATGATTGGAATGTAGATGGTGCACATTTGTTTTGAATATCAAGTAGACGGTGCACCTAATATTCCAAAAGGCATTACCAGAAACTCTTAGTGCCCTTCAAGGTGTCCATATAAAGTCTTCATAGCAACTTAGAGAACACCTTAGAATGCCTAATTCATCCAATAAGTCATCTTTGACAAGAATAAGTACTTTGTTGGGTATTGTTTTGTTTAGAGCCCTATAGTCCACACAATCTCAACATGCCATCCTTTTCCTTTACCACGTCCGTTGGACTAAAATATGAGTAGTACATGTTCTAATAATGCTTGCTACCAATGCTTCATTCTCTTAACCTTTCAGCTTCAACCTTTTGGTAGTTAAGGTACCCTGTTGGGTCTAATACTATGTGTATGGCTTGTGGTAATCCTTTGGGTGCTTTGGAAACATTTTCAAGCTCATGCAGAACCCCTTCAACATCCTCTAACATTTATTCTTTGCAGAATAACCTGTTATGGCATCGCATGCTCTTGTGCTCTCTATTTCCTTCTTGATTTGTTAAACATCCATGCTTTGTTAAAATACAGAATCGAGTATATCAATGATTTATGATAAATAAAATTCATTATTTCTCCTCATTAGCAATAATGTGAAGTTGTACTTGTGCCTTTGTGTAATAGTCATGTTTTGTTGTTCAGAAATGGCTTTGAGGAGGACAAGAATTTCCATGTTGTTTTAAATTCTGTAATAACTGGCCGCTATCATGTCACCGAGTATCTGGATCTGCCGCATTTAGTAAAGCAATTCAAGCTCATGATCTGCATACAGGTGTGGATGTTTGTATTAAAATTATAAAGAACAACAAATATTTCTTTGATCAAAGCCTTAACGAGATCAAACTCCTCAAATATGTCAATAAGCATGATCCTGGAGACAAATATCACATTTTGCGGTTATATGATTACTTCTACTATCGAGTAAGTTATATTGTATTCGCTACTGATCTTATTAATACTATTACATTTTCCTTTTGATCCGTTGTAGTGCAACATTAGATATCGCCCTTCCAGGAAATTTAAACATTAACTTAATAATGATATACAGCGAACTCCACTCACCATTCCTTTCTGTTGTCGCACTACAAGAACATTTGTTAATAGTATGTGAGCTACGCAAAGCCAACTTATATGAGTTTCATAAATTTAACAGAGAATCAGGAGGGGAAGTTTACTTTACAATGCCAAGATTGCAGGTTTGTCGGGTTCTACTCACATTTCGTTGTTTTTTGTTTTTGTTTTGTCTAAACTAGCGTGTAGACAGGCACTGGCATGTCGGTCTGTCTGCTTTTCCCTAATGAAGACCAGTCGGCTTTGATAAAAATTAAACATGAAGTTTTGGATGAAATTCTATTATTTATTTTAATTCAAAATTGAATTAAGGTTTGTTTAGATTTGATTTTTTAGATTGATTTAAGGATTATAATCTCTGTAGCCCCGACACTTCGGAAAAAAGGCGTGTCCGAAACCAACACAATACTGACACTTGTGATTATGTTCAATTGATTCATTTTTTCAAATTATTACCCGTGTCGGTGTCGTGTCCGGTGTTTTTGTCTGTGTCCATGCTTCATAGATTATAGTAGATTTGAATTAAAAATTAAATTAAGATTAGATCAAATTTTATTTTATTCAAATTTAAAGGGTAAAAATTATAAATAGAAGAGTTTAAAAGAAGGCGAATATAAGTCACCAAATCTGGTAGTGGAAATGGAAAACAATAAAACATATAGTCTGAAATGTCATAACATATATTGTTTAGGATTAAAGTTAGGGTAGAAGGTTAATCCTATTTAAGTATGAAATGTCATAACATATCTGTTTATTAATAAATATATATCAACTTCAACAAAGATACGTGAACATGAAACTTTCAGCACCTTCTGTGTTGTCGGGACAAGAAATGTGGGAACTTTAACCTTTTTATCCTGCAAACGCAGATATCATACTAGATATTGGCACAAACATTTCATAAAAAGCATGGGAAAATCTTTAAGTCAAACCCCTAACATCTTTTTTTTCTAGTGTTATCAATGGCAAATGGCGGAATATGGCGTGAAGCCAAAAGTCTACCATATCAATGGCAAGTCTGAAAGGATCGATACTCCAAGCTCCTCTGTTTCCAACATTCTTCTTCTATTGTCTTTAATTCTGTCACCAGACTTGTTCAACCTCTCAGTTGAAAACATTAATCTGTCTCTTTGATCAACTGATACCTATTTTTATCATCTTAGCAATTAGCACATCGCGCCCGATTTAGTGGGAAAAATCCAAGAAAAATGAGGGTTCAGAAATGTAGATTAAAGCCCCTCAATCAGTTTAAAATATCACGAATCAGATGGTAGAAATCCCATTTGCTACAGCAGGGCTCAAATATAAATATACCAGAAAAGAATTATATATAAAAATGAGGGAAATGAAGGATCAGGTTTTTGGCTCGTCGTGGTTTCACAGGACAATGATTGATGTCCTTGAACAACATCAAAGAATGTCAAATTAAAAATTAATCATACCGTCAAAGCATCTGCCATGCCTGATTCCAACAAAATATCCCGTGCAGAGGGGTTCATGTTACCAGATACATGCTTCTTAAGTTCGCTTTTAATATTGTTCAGATCTGATTTGTATTCCCGCAACTTAGCAAGAAGCACACCCTTAATGTTTGGTTGCATCTGCTTGCCTCAATGGCTATGGCTGCTCCAATTCCAACTGCAATGTGATGCGATAGTAAAATCATTAACCAATTCAAGAATGTCAAGCTTTGGTCCTCATAATGTCAAGCTCATACACTAATTCAATAATGTTTTAGATGAAAGCTACCACTTTGTTAAAACAAAAATCATAAACCACCCATTAGCACATCATGCTTGCTACTGAATTGCTTAAGGGTTATAACAGGAAAGGAGGCACACCTAGAATCACGATTCAATTAGATCTGCAAAAAGCTTATGATATGGTTAATTGGAAGGCTTTATAGTGCATCATGAAGGAGATGGGATTCCCTAACAAATTCATTCATTGGATTATGCTGGGCATCACCACTGTATCTTATAGATTTAACATCATGGGAGAGTACACTGATATTCTGCAGGCCAAAAGGGGAATTCGTCAGGGTGATCCTCTATCACCTATGCTATTTGTTCTCATAATGGAGTATATGAACATATTGTTGATGAAAATGCAAAGAGACCCTAATTTTAACTACCATGGCAAATGCGAAAAGTTGAAAATCATCAACCTTACCTTTGCAGATGATGTTCTATTATTCTGCAGAGGTGATGAGATCTCTTTACATATGATTCTTCAAACTTTCAGGGCCTTCTCCATTTCCACGGGGTTAATTATGAATCCTAACAAATGCAGGATTTATTTTGGAGGTCTAGACAAAGAGAAGAGAAAGGTTCTGAAAGAGATGTCTGGTTTCCAAGAAGGTACGCTTCCTTTCTGATATCTCGGTATACCTCTGGTTGGCAGGAAACTAAACATCACTCATTTTATGCCCTTGGTGGATAGAATAGTGGCTAGAATCCACCATTGGTCTTCAAAGCTTTTAAGTTATGCAGGCAGAATTCAATTGGTGAAAAGTATAACAACTGCAATGGTTCAATACTTGTTGCACTGTCTTCCTATGCCCAAAACCGTGATCAAGAAGATTGACTCCATTTGTCGCAGTTTCATATGGACCGGCAAAGATACAGTGAGCAGAAAGTGTCCTGTGGCTTGGAAACACATGAGCTGTCCTACTGCTCAAGGTGGTTTGAACCTGATAAATCTGCAGATTTGGAACAATGTCCTACTCTTAAAATGCTTATGGAATCTGTGCAAAAAATCTGATACTCTGTGGGTGAAATGGATCCATATTCATTACTTTAAAGACAAGCAGATCATGAATTATGAAACCAAAACTCAAAGCTCTTGGATCATGCGCAGCATTTTGAAACAAAGGGATACCATGGATCTAATTAGGAACGAATGGGACCAACTTCTGATTTCACATAAGTTTAAGGCGTCGGTTTTTTACAAGGTTCTGATTGATGACGGCACAAAAGTGCCTTGGAGAAACTTAATTAGATCGAATAAGAGCCGACCGCGAGCAGTTTTTTGTCTATGGCAAGCTTGCCATGGAAAACTTGCAACCAAGGATAGATTAAAGCATTTTGGCATGATTCAAGACAGCCAGTGCAGTTTATGTCATACCGAGGAAGAGACGATGAACCATCTACTTTTTTGCTGTCAAGGGACTAGACACATTTGGAAGAAAGTGCTCCGTTGGTTTAACATAGTTCATACACCTCAACCTTGGGATGCTGAGTTGATCTGGATAACTAACATGACTAAAGGTAAAGGCTGGAAAGTGGATATTTTCAAAATGTTAGTGGCTGAAACCATCCACTGCATCTGGGGGTATCGTAATAGTACTACTTTTGGTAAACCTGTAGATATTATAACCGTGGCTACTAACATTATAGATAACGTGACCTATAGAGGGTGGCAAAACCTTAAAATTAGGAAGCATCTTGTTAGTTATATGATGTAAAATGGTCTTTTTTGTTGGGTTGGATCCTACAGGATCACCTCTTTTGTACTTCCTTTCCGAATTAATATATTCTTCTTTTAATTAAAAAAAAAAATCATAAACCACACTTTAGCATGAGCACAAAATTAAACAGCCGACAACTAGGAGTTGATAAACTCATACTTCAATAATACAATTGTGAATCCAACCAATGATAAAGGAACATGCCCAACACTAGTGGCATCAATGCAAAATAGATCCCAACATTAAGCATGACAGAGTTCAAACCTAAACTAAACCTCCTAAGTACTAACGCCAACAGGTTTTGGTGGTGATTTCCCATGGTGAGGATCTAAAACAGCACTACACCAACCTAAACCAATCAATACTGATCAACAACAAGCTGAGAAACAAGACTAGGCCTGAGTTTACACAACCAAGCAGTACTTGAGACACTCAAATTACACTCTCACTGGCTGCACTAAAAAGTCCACCATCCTCGTGGCCAAAAACTGGTTCTCTAATTTTGCTCCAAATGAAAATCCAAACCAAAGCTACCCTCTAGAATGAGAGGAAAAAACCTGGCCACTAACAGGCCTGATATGAAACAACTCAGCCTTTCTTCAACAGTCATGGACAAAAGAACACAAACTAAGCATGGCTCATATCCCAATTAAACCAACCTCAGCATGAAGTTACAACTTCACCAAAACAGCAAGGATACTAACTAGACCTAGGCAGCTTCACAAACTGACATTACAATGCTAGAGAAACTAACACAAAGAGTTATAAACTCTAAACACCTCAAACCTAAATTGATGGGTCCAACCTCAACTTAAAATCTAACAGCAACCTTCTAAAAGAAGAACCTAAAGACAACTCAAAATGCAAACTAAACTATGCTAGGTAGATCCAAACTATGAACAAAGTTGAAGTTCACAAGCCAAAAAACAACAACATGACAATGTTTAACAATTTCCAAAAATAGTTCTTGTGGTTTTTCAACATAACAATGTCAAAAGTAATAAACTCATCAAGTGATCAACAACATACCTTCACAAAGGCAAAAAACACACATACCAACCTAAAGGCATTCCAACAACAACTACTCATGGTATTGGTCTCACATATTTTGACAACATAGTTATAACTTTAGCATAGAAATGTCAAAACACAATCCATACATACATGATGTACAATGATGAGATGGTTCAAAGCTACACACCTTTTTTAGTCTTCCCACGCTTAGGCTAAATAAAAGCAAGAACTCCTTCCTTTCAGAAAAGCTTTGAAGTTTCTTCCTTTTGAAACAACGAGTGATCTTTTGGGACAAATTTAGCAAATGAGGTTCCAGTTGCCTTTTAAGGTTTTAGACAGTTGAAATAACATAAAGGGAAGGTGTTCAAAGTGTACAAGTGGTTCAAACTGATCTAGGAAGTGAGTTCCTCCATACTATGTAGAAAAGTCAAACCAAAGGGTGTGAGAAGTTGACTTTTGGTTTTGTGATGCTTTTGATGAGACTAACTATTGGAATAGCTTTAAACGGTGATTTTAAATTTGTGTGGATGGTTTTTATGGTGGTTTCATGGCTGGAAAGGATGCTGGTATGAAGTTTGCCCAAGGCAGTTTTTTTAGTGGTTTTGGAGGATTTCTTTACTTTCAAGCAAGGTAAGATAGAATGAGAGCTGTGTTTTCTCTGGGGTTTTTAGAGGGCTCTGGTGTGTGTTTAGCATAGAGGAAAACTCTATTTATAGGAAAGGCAAGATGAGGACAAATTGTGAAGATATTACATACTGAACAACATCACGATCAAACATTACACTCATCGATTATTTCTATCTTGGTAGATTCTTTGAATTGCATCGCCGGATGATTGATTTTTCTCATTCACGAAAGAAGAACTCGTTTGTTCATAAACTCGTCTCTTTTTCATCAACAGTCAAAACGATTCACTACTTTCGAAAATGCACCTTTCTAGCTTTTATAACTTGGTGTTTTAACTTCGAGATGATGGGCAAGGGCGGAATCATTCCCTTGGAAGACATTTCATTATACAATATAACAGCTTTCTCGGTGTGCCCGCGGTTTAACAGACCAGAAAGTAGAGCAGTGTAAGTTACATTATCCGGTTCGAGTCTCAGCTCAATAATTTCGTTGAAGAATCTAACCGCTTCTTGAAAGTTATCGACCTTTACGAATCCGTCAATCAGAATAGTGTAAATAACCACATCCGGACTTACTTTCGTTTGCTGCATTTCTGTCAAGATAGTCGAAACACCGTACGTTGCATCACTTCCTTCTTTGAGTTGCGAAGAGAAACACCTTTTTAAATTCACTTGTTTGAAATTCCCGTCGAGTAGAACCGTGTACGTAATTACATCAGGCTTTATCCCTCTAATCTTCATATCCAGAAGAGATCATGAGCCTCTTGCAAGCAATTCAATCTACAATAACTTTTTATCATAATCGTGTATGTTACAACATCGGGCTTAAATCCCCTCTCGAGGAAAAAATCGAACAACGAGCGAGCATGTTCTATATTCCCTTCCTTGCACAATGCATCTAATACTTTAGAATACATTACTCTGCTAAGTTTCTTAAAACCGAGAGTTTCTTCTGAAATATCTCCTTCGTTTGAAATCTCGCAGAAAAGTTCGCATGATTTTTCAACAAGACCGGCTTCACAATAACCATTAACCATGGAAGTATAGATTTCTACGCTTTTAACTTTCAGAGCGTTAAAATATGCCTCAGCTTCTTCAACCTTGCCTGCTGAACACAAACCTTCAATGATAATCTTATGCATAGTTGCGTTCGGCTCCACACCTTGATTATCCATACAATTCAAAAGCTCAATCGCCTCGCAAGCATGATGATTTCTAAACAAACCGGCGGCTAGAACATTATAAGCAACAACATCAGGTTTAAATCCGTTTTCTTCCATTTCTTTGAAAATACTACACGCTACATTGGGTTTACCTTGAAGACAATAACTGTTAATAAAGGTCGTGTAGTGTTTGATATCTAAATTGATACGCATTGATTTCAACTCCTCCAGCATAGCTACCGCATCATCTACGTTACCCAATTTACACAAAGAATCAAATACGACATTGTAAGCGACCCCGTCAAGAAACACACCCGAGTGCTTTAACTCTTTAAACCTATCTACAACTCGCGAATCCATACCCATCCCACTTATGCAATGAAGAATACAACTAGCAATCACACAATTTGTTTTATACCCTTTGAAATCATGTCGTCGTATAAAACTTCCTGTCATACCCTAAATTTGTCCTACTTACTTTTCCATTTCATTTTTTGTACATTTGCCCATCAATTAGTATTTAGAAAATCCAAAATATGTGGTTGCTGCTCGAATACCATAAGGTTAATTTAAATTGAGTATGACAGACAAAGATTCAAGTAATGTGTGTGGTCAAATAATCTGAACTTTGTCTTGATTTGTGCCGCTAACCTATAGAATGGACTCAAATAGCAATTTCCAGATTGGTAGCGGGCTTCAGTTTAGTTGGTTGGACTCAGGTGTTGGCCCACTTAAAAGCCAATATGGTGTAACTATTAACGGGTTTTGTCAAAATCATGTTTGAAATATATGCTCAATCCAATTTGTGGTGGGGTAAAGGGCCAGTTGATAACTAAATTCTTAAAGGTCAAAGTAAAATGGCATCAAATTCAATTCATGTTAAGTAGATGCAAGGTGTTATGTTCAAGATAAATAATGTGATAGCTTGCATAAGAGGTATCCATGTCATAAAGAGTGAAATACTTTGATGATATGTATTATACAACGTTTTAAATTTCCATAAATTCACATTCTTATACGAGCAACACATCTAAATGAGGAAGGAGTGCCAACTGGGCTTAAGAAACACATCACCACAGCAAGTGCATCAAGAGAATCCTAAGTG